TAATCTAAAAGTCAAAGCCAAAAATTGAGGAGGTAATAATCAGGGAAAGCAAAAGGATGGCAGTCTTAGTTTGGAAGCAAAGCAAGTTGGGAGCGGTCTAGATGGCATATAAAGAATAAGAGATGGAAGAACACAGGCTGTGTAACATGCAAAAAAAGAAAAAATAATAACCAGAGGCAGCATCATTTTATGCTTTGCTCTTCATTCTGCCCTCCTGGGAGGAGAGATCCAGCCACAGAGCTCTGTATGCCAACTAGTCTGCTCCCAGTCGAAGACAACAAAGTACTAGACTCAGGTACCACTTATTTATGGAAGAATTATCTAGGGTAGGCACGGTTTACCTCAGATTACTAAACAAGTTAGTAACTAAGCAGGGATTAGAACCCAGGTGTTCTGATACCTAGCCCACCATTCTACATTTCCTCCAGAAAATAATAGAATATCCTTATTAGGAAACATTTAAGAAATGACTCATTTTGGATTTTTTTTTTAAATCATAGCCCTTTCTAGCAACACAGAATGGTCTGAATAAGTTATTTCTGCCTGGAGAGTGATAGCCACTCCTTTACAGATTCTGATCGTGTCAGGCTGTATTCAATTGTCCTTGAGCTGCTTCATCTTTGTCAGATTTTTCACACATCAAACCAAGTTTTTTTGGTGTTTATTTCCCCCTATGAAGTAGCAAGGTCTACTGTGTGGATTTTTCCACCCCTAGTAGGCTGGGATGAAAGCAAGGGTGATCAAAAGCATTTAACCCCTGGTGGCAGCCTGGCAGGAAAAAAAATTAATGAAATTTAATGGTGGCTTTCACAGCCACCAAGCATTCTGTGGAGACCATTCTCTGAGGCTGTCATATCAGATTAATACTTGCCCTCCCTTTGAAGGACTGCAGAGTCCTTCTTTTTTGTTGACCTATGTTAGCAGGCATTCTAGAAAGTTTTTAGGCAAGGACAGTGTGTTTTAGCTTGTTGGCAGAGTCAATGGATCTTGCCAGCTGGAAATGATGTCTCCCTCCTCCCACCCCTTCCAGCTCTTTCACTGGTCCTCTATTAGGCACTGATCAGTATGATGTAGTAGAAAAGCCCTTGAGTTGAAATCATAAGGTATAGATAGGGTGGAATCCCAGATCTCCTACTTTACCTCTGTGACCTTGGGCAGGATCAATCAACAAGTGCTAATTAAGTGCCTAATGTGTGCTAGGCACTGTGCTGGATATACGAAAGATAAAAATGAAAACACGGCAACCCTCAAGAATCTTATCTTCTATAGGGGAGACGACATGTATGTAAGGTTTTAGGATCATAGATTTAGAACTGGAGGGAAGCTTGCAGGTTGTCTCGTACAACCCTCTTACTTTACGGAGAAGGAAACTGAGGTTCATGTAAATAATAAAAGACAGAACTGGGATTTTAACCCCAGCCTTTGATTCCAAATGCAGTGACTCTTTTCTTTCTATGACACCATGCTATCCCACCATGTAAGTATAAAACATGCGCACACACACACACACACACACACACACACACACACACACACTACATAACAAGTAATTGGCAAGGGGCAAGGGAAGGAGGCACTAGCAAATATGGGCATCAGGAAAAAGCTCACGTACAAAGTGGTGCATGAACTTAGCTTTGAAGAAACTAGGGACTCTTAAGGCAGAGTTCAGGAAGGTGTGCATTCCAGGCTTGGGTGGCAGTTTGTGCAAAGACAAGGTGACAGGAGATAAGGTGCTGAGGAATAGCAAGGGGCCACTTATATAGAGGATGTGAAGAAGGAGTAGAATGGGGTTGGGGGGGAATGTGAAATGGACCAGGTAATGAAGGGCTTTAAATGTCAAACAGAGAAGTTTATGTTTTATCTTAGAGGGAAAGAAGAGTCACTGTAGTTTCTTGAGCTGGGGAGTGACATGCTCAAACCTGAGATTTAACCTTACTTTAAAATCTTGTGTCTTAAATGCCAAGTTTTTGTATTTGTAAATAGATGTTTGCATTTGTTCCTAGAGGCCGTAAGAAGATAAGTGAGGTTAGTAAACTAGGGGAATGGTCAATCACTTCTCTCAGAGCCCCAGTTTCTTTATCTGAAAAAGGAAGGAATTAAATGAGATTAACTCCAAGATTCTTTATAATTCAGTCATCCTAATAATTGCCTTTTACCTTCTAAAAATCTGTGACCCGTGTGAGTAGATGATGAAGCACAGTGTGAATTCTGAGTCTGAATCCCTGAGAATCTAGTACTTTAGTTATTTATGTATGTATCTTTTTTTCAAGATTGTAAGCTCTTTGGGGTCTGTTATAATCAGTGGTATGCTGATAAATATTTAACAACCAGCTTTCTGAAAATATATGACACACTTTTAAATTTAAGCTGTATTATTTAAACTTTTGCATCACTTCCTTAAGACTAGACAATCAACAAACAATGAATCAAGCTCTAGTTTGCTTGTTTCTGAGGTTTAAATCCAAACATTGAAAATTTATCAGCTTCCATCTTTCCCTTACTCATTTCATCCTTCTCAGTGTTCTTTGCATAGGGCTTTACACGTGGCAAGCTTTCAATAAATGTTTTTATTGTTAAATTTAAAATTTTTAATTGTACATTTAATTTAAATTTAATTGGAAATTTAAATTTTAAAATGAGGCTTTGAAGAATCAGAAGCAACTAGGATGCTAAGGTTTAGAAAACTTGTGATATGAGCAGAATAGTTAAAGAAATAATTGTCCTGGCTATTTTCAAGTCTTTGCAGAATTATGAGGCAGAAAAGAGAGTATAGTTTTATTTTGTCCAGCAGGGAGATAGCGAAGACCAGTGGGCAGAAATTATAAGATGGCAAAGAAAGGATCTGCTAGTGATGAAAGTTGATGAACTTTAGCAGGGACTGCCTTGAGAAGCCAATGAGCTTCTGTAACTGTATGATCTTTCAGCTTGTCAGTGTTAGGTCCATAGAATCTTAGAACCTTGGGTTTAGAAAGGACCTTAGAGGTTCCCTAAGCAAGTCTCCTCACCGACGCGAGGATCATCTCCAGTGCTTAACACAATGTCTGGCACATGATAGGACCTTAACAAATGCTTGTTGACTTGTTGACAGCAGCATACTTGACAAGAAGTCATCAGGCATTTGCAATGACAGGGAGGATCACTACTCCTCAAGGCTGTGCCTTTTGTTACTCTCTTGCTCAAAAACTTTCCATAATTCCCTTTTGCCTTTATGAATAGCATGCCAATTACTTATCCTGGTATTCAAAGCCTCCCAGTCTGTCTTGAGCCTACTTCATTTTACATGATTTCTCATTCATGAATTCTACATTCCAGGTAAGCCAAATTAGTCACAGTACCCAGGACTGACCTTGCCCTCTTCCACTTGCATGCATTTGCTCATGCAGTCATCCATACTCTCAACACTGTCCCAACCTGTTGACATCTTCTTCAAGTCTCACCTAAGGTAGTCACCTCCTCTGCAATCCCTGAGCCCCTCTACCAATTAGATGTGATCTACTCCTCCCTATTTCAGTCTGCCTATGTCACTTTCCTACTCAAGAAACCACAATAGCTCCTTGCCTCTAGAATAAAAAGCCTACTCCTCTGTTTGACTTTTAAACCCCTTCACAGTCTGGCTCCAGCCTACCTTCCCAGGATTATGGTATACAGTTCCCCTAGCCAAACTGACTTGTTGTATATATATTCTATCATTCTATCATACAACATATAATTGTTGTATATACATTCTATCATCTCATTAACTTTGTTTCCCAAACTTAAAATGCATTCCTGCCTCACCTAAAACTCACAGGATCTCTAACTTCCTTCAGAACTTAGCTCAAATGGCACCCTACAAGAAGCTAATTGTGAGCCCCTCAGGGGAGAGTGTCTTTTCCTGGAAATGATATTATAGACATAGATGTGTGTACAAATACATGTACAAACATACATACATGTATGTACAAATATACACACATATACATATATGTATGTACAAATATACACGTATATATGTGTACATATGTTGTTGTTTAGTCATTTTCAGTCATGTCCAATTCATATGACCCCTTTTGGGATTTTCTTGGCAAAGGTACTGGAGTGGTTTACCATTTCCTTCTCCAGCTCATTTACAGATGAGAAAACTGTGGCAGACAGAGTTAAGTGACTTGCTTAGGGTCACACAGCTAGTAAGTGTTTGAAGCCAGATTTGAACTTAGGAAGATGAGTCTTCCTGACTCCAGGCCCAGCACTCTATCTATTGCGCTACCTAGTTGCCCTGTATACATACCATACACATATATGTCCATACGCGTATTGTGTGACCTCCAGTTGGTAGTGTCCTTCCCCTAGAAATAATATAGTGTATGTATTATAACTACATGTATATATACTTACATATATGTGTATATTATATGTATACAAATGTGCATATACATTTGTGTATGTATATACACAGAATGTCCCAAAAAGCCTTACTGCAGTCATAAATTATTATAGCTGAAAATTTATATATATATATATATATATATATATGTATGTATGTATGTGTACATATACATATGTATGTGTATATGTGTATATGTTAATTTCTATGTATGTGTTTTTCCATCTAATAAAATATAAGCTTCCTGAAGGTAGAACCTATTTCCTTTTTGTCTTTGTTTCCCCAGAGCCTAATATAATGCCTGCCACATAATCAATACTTAAGAATTTTTTTTTTCATTAATGGATGGATGGGTGGATGGATGGATGGATGGCTGAAGGGATGAATATTTCTCCTCAGATGTCTGGAGATAAAGAATTGGAAAGTCAAATGTGTGTGCTCCTTCAGCATCCTGTTTGTTTTTGTCCTTCCTGCTGTTTTGTCAAGGTACTGAGACCTGCCCAAATTGCATTTTTCTCTTTCTTGTGGGTCCCGCCTTTAGCGCAGGAAGGCTGCCAGATGAGAGTCTTCTGTCTGCGTAGCTCTGTTAAGGCACACCAGTGGTCACCAATGTTGTCTCTCTTGTTTCCATTACCAGATTACGCTAGATTCGAGGCAAAAATCCATGACCTACGAGAGCAGATGATGAACCACAGCATGAGTTCTGGGTCCGGCTCCCTGAGAACCAATCAAAAACGCTCACTCTATGTCAGGTAGGCTTCTTGAATCACTCTGGCATGTCTCCCATTTTCCTTCCTACTTTGGGAATGAATGGAAACCATCATGTGACGTTGTAAAGCTCCATACTTACCTATGTAGTACGGGGTAACATCTGTAGATAAGCCCAACAGCTAACAATGAAGCAATGCCAAACTGAAACACGGCCAGTGATCTTTATTTGATAACCATTTGAGAGAGATTTTTGAAATTCCAAAATGTCAGTTAAGAACCCAGTGCTTAAAATAATTGTGATTTGGGGTTGGCTCTTACATGACCTTCTCCTTTATAATAATTCTGTATTTCACTTTTCTGCCATCATTAAAGGTCCAAACCATGCAATTTGTCAAGCTTTTAAGCTCAGGCCCTTATCAGTTATTTTCTTTGGCAAATGAAGGACTCTTGTTAGGATGCAGATTACTGTCCATCCCTGTTCTCTCCGTCAGATCTTTGCTGCATGGCCTATTGCAAGATTGGCATTGCTCCCATTTTCTTGGATTGAACATCAACTTTCAAAGTGTGAAAAGTCCATAAGTGCAGGGGTGTAAACTCCTCTCCTTTCCCAGTATGAACTGAGCCTTCTGTGGGATTGGAATTTGGATCAGACTTTCAAGGAAGGCTTTCCTTTTAAATTAGTTAATCTTTCTTAGTGTTGTAGGGCTGGTAGAAAGCAGACCAGAAGATGGTATAGGGAAGAAGTGGGAAGAAGCGTTTTGAATGCTGGCAAACTTACCAATTAGGAAAGAGAATGAAGACAGTCTTAGGTTGTCTTCAACAGCCTTAGTTCCCATTCTTGGGCATTCTTTTGGCCTTCTTGGCAAGTATTATATTTACTCTGGTGTACTGATGGGAAATAGAAAATTTGGTTGTTTGGGTTTTGCTAATATTCTTAAAGATTCTAGCTGGCCTGAGGAGGAGATTCATTTCCCTGTGACCCTCCAAGAGACCTCCCTTATACACTGTTCATTGGCCAGACTCTGTGATCATTTCCCCTTATCAGTCATTTTCTAAATGACAAAATTCATTTGGTTCTTTGCCGGCAGAGCTCTGTAATTTGCCACGGGGGACAAAAGAATCTTGAGTTTTAAATGCATACCAGGATTTGTTCATCACAAGTGGTAGTACATCCCCACTCCCCTATAACACGCACCTCCCCATCTAGCACACATAGACCTCTTAAACTGACTTGAGAAATATTTGTAAGGGCCATGCATACCATTCATGCCAATTTACCAGTGTGCATGTTACCCCTGAGGTCCCTCCTTCATTTTAAATGACTTAAAATTGAGCTGCAAAGGGGGAAAAAAGTGAATAGCAAATATAACTAATGGAAATGGAATTTCCACACTTAGTTTGGGTGGGGAGAATGTTGGCTGTGCTGTGGTTAAATTACATCTGGAATCCTTGCTTAATCCTAAATATTTTTTGCTGCTGAAGTATAGTATCCATTGGGCCTTGCTTTTCATTTTCTTTTACTAGCATGAGGTGCTTGTTATAGATCCCAGATGACAGTTCTTTAATTAACATGTCATGTTGGTTCAAATGTGGCTATAAAGTTATCTTTTGTGTGTATTAGGTAGGCACAGCAGGGGGAAGAAGGGAGCAAGAATCCTGAAGCCTACAGGTTCTCTGGGGCCTTAATTTGCTGTGCCCCCTGACACATAGAGAGCCCCTTATTAATCGAAGGGCCTACAGAACCTCAGAACGCCTGAGGTTAAAAAATATACATATATATGTCGCCCTTGCAAATTTGGCCGGCTGCTTTTCAGAAGATTATCTCGATACACCTCTGTGTAATCTGGGCAAGGAATGCTGATAATCGCCCCAGAGCCCGTCTGTTGTAGCAACATCTCAACTGTGATGGGAAGTTAATGACCCCCATTTGTCTCCATATCTTCTCTCCTTGAGTACTGTGGTACCAGTGCTCTTTGCTCTACAAGAATATTTCTTTTTTCAGTTGAAAATGTGTTTGCCTGAGGCATTGAATTGGGAAAATCCGATAGGTTTAGTGCAGAAGGCAGATAAATCATTTAACTCCCAGATAATGGGAAAGGAGGGCTGGAGTAAAGATTGGAGGGAGGAAGAATTAAAAAAAAAAGTCATTGGCTATTTTTAAAAATGAAAAAAGTATGAAAAATTATCTTTAATGTACTATAAGCAGATTGTTAAACTATGTTGGTAATAGCTTAGTCATTTTCATTTTGTTATGGAAGATTAATAAAATTAAAGCAAATGATATGAAAATGCTATATGGAGCTCTTAGTTGGAAATGATATTACTGAGACGCATAGGCTTTGAATCTTTAAAATAATATGAAAAAGTAGTACAAACAGTGAAAGGAAGATTTTAAAGTAATTGTATCTCTTTGGTAATGTTCGTCTTTGGGGAGATTCTCTCCCAAAAAAATTTTTGATAGTTCAGGTATTTTGAGAAGTTCTGACATACTTCATGGAGACATCTCCCAAATTATAGCTCTTTAGAAATCATTCCCTTGATATAGTGGGCTTTTTTTTATCTTGGTGATTTTTTTTTTGTTGCTGTTTTTGTTTTTGTGGGGAGAGGGAAGGGAGGGAGGGAGTTGCTTTCCATGGCTCATCTCCTTTGTGAATAATGACTGATGTATAGAGATGCTATGTTTGCCTCACATACTTCTATTACACTCCAGGCTGGTCCCTGCTAGGGCACTGGCTATGACTTGTTTAGGTGGAGACCAAGCAAAGTCTTGTGTCGTTATAAAGTGTTGGAAAATATAAGTGAAAGAAGGTAAACGGAGCTGTATGACATGAATTAAAAGAGAATTTTTTTCAAAGAAAATGTGTTAATGGATATAATTTGGCTCAGCTTGCTTCAACTAGACTATTAACTAACTAGTGTCTGATGACTGTATTAATTTCGCTACTTCAACTTCATGTTTCCTCAAAGTGGTCCAAATCAGGGTTTCTGTAGTATACAAGAGGTGAGAGACTTCCCCAAGTCTCTTCAAGAGTGTTCTTGACGAGTTACTTACAATGATGGAATTTTAAGAGCAGAAGGTACCTTAGAGATCACCTTGCCCAGAGGCTCTTAACCTGGGGTCCATGGAACACCAAAGGTTCTTGGAGATGAATTTCAATGGGATCCTTGCAGTTGGATGGAATCACCAAAAAAAATTACCTTTTTCAATATCAAAAAAATTATTTTATTCATTTAAAAATATTATTTGGACCCATGACACACACAAAAAGTTAAGAACCTTTGACCTGTCTCTAAGTCCTACACTCAGAGTCAAAAGCCTTGGGTTTTAATCCGACCTATGACACTTTGTGTTAGTATGACCAAACAACCACAGGCATGTCATTTTTACTGGCCTGGGCCTCAGTTTCTTCAAGAAAAAGAGGCAGATATGACTAGGTGATCTCCAAGGCCCCTTTTACCTCCAAGATCTACAACTCCATCAATACCCTCTGCCTACCTCACAGGGTTGTTGTGAGGAAAGGATTTTGTAAACTTGAAAAGCATTTGAAAAGTTTGTTGTGGCTCAACTCCTCTCCCATTTTACGGAAAAGGAAACTGAGGCCCAGAGAGGAGATACAAATTTTGTCATTGTCAAGAAAGAGTTAGTGGTAGAGTCGGGCCCTGGTCCCTTCTCCACTCTACATACTGCTTCCCCCGTATTCTCTCTCTCTCTTGAGATAAGCACTATCCCACATCCTGGGCTTATTAGAAGACATTGTTTTTAGGTCAAGGAAGAGGGCAGCTCTCTTGTTTTTATCGCTGAGAAACAACTTAAATTAAAAGAAGCAAAAATAATAGTAATAATGATAAGTCAGCTCAAACCTGACTGATGATTTGGCGCATAGTAAGTACTTCATAACAGCAATTTGTTTATTGATCACTTGAAACCGAGTGGTTTGTTTTGTTGGTTTTAAATGCGCAGGTGTCTGTTTCTCTTGCTCTGTTCCCAGAAGCAGAGATTCTAGAAAATGAGCTCCTAATTTAGAGACTATGAACTGTTTCTTAAAATATATTTTGAAAACTCTGTTTCAATATAATTGGTTTCCATTGTAATCTTGTGTTTTATTTCATGCATTTAAAATTTTATTATGAGAAAGGGTCCATTAGGCATCACTAGACTGCCAAAGGTGTTCATAACACAAAAAAAGTTAAGAACCCTTGCTGTAGAATTTGTAGCAACGTAACCAAGAAAGCATGGGGACTCTTTGGCCTGTGTGAAACAACTTAGTAGTCTCAGAATGGTGTTTGTACCTCCCAGAAACCTCTATCTCCTTCAAGAGTGGCTCTCCACACCCTGTATTCCACCTCCTCCCCTCCCCTGGACTCCCATTGGGAGTCCCAGTTGGAATGATTCTACACAGCTTGTATGTAGATGCTAGCCTGCTCCCCCACCCCACCCAGGTCCCCCTCAGTGATCCTCCTCAGCCCAGTGTATCAGCCTGTTTGCCTGAATTACCCAAGCCGGGCACTTTGCCCTTCCAGAGCTAGGCTCTTTCTGTGGCTTCCCTGAGGGACTGGCATCCTGGCTGCTTTCCAAATGCCAAATTCCCAATCTGGTTGTATTCCTCTTTCCTCCCCTTGCCTTTTGTGTGGATTGCTTGACATGCTTTGATGGTCTTGTACAAATAGAAATGACTCTTGATATGCATAGCACTGTACATGTAACACAGGGTGGAGCTGGCATGTTTCATTTATATCTTGACTCTCTGTATTGTGCATTTCCTGCTCTGTGACTCTCATATATAGTTGTAGAATCTTAAAAGTAAATAAAAACATGTTGAAAACATTAATAAACCTTTTTTTTCCAAAATGCTTTACAAGGCATTAGCAAATTCTTCAATCTAGGAAGCCATTGAGCTTCTGAACCTACAGGATATGGATATGATTGGGGGAACCTCCAGGCTGGTCTAATCAGTTGGGATTTCAGGAGCCCCTCTTCCCCCCCCCCATTGCACACCCTGAAACATCTATGCTAACTACTCAAGGTTGCCTACAACATTTT